TCAAATTTAGAACATCAAATCATAAACTTCCAGTAGAAATTGGGAGATACGATGGTACTCCTTATAATGAAAGAATTTGCACATTGTGTAGCGGCAATCAAACTGGCATCGAGCAGCATTACTTGTTACATTTTAGTTTTTTTCGGGAAACAAAGAGAGCATTTTTTCCAAAACGCAAATTTAATAAACGAGCGCGAACTTTCGCTGAAATCACTATTAGGGTCAAATAACATACATGTTTTTAGGAGCCTCGTGAAATTCATTAATTCTATTACAAAAACTTTCCAATAATCCTAATGCCTCCATCAGTAATACAAGATTTCATCTAATATTTCTCACTTGTTAAACTGTTTGTTTCCTTTAAATTGCGTGTTTAATTTTTTTTCTCAACATTTTCTTTGTATACTGTATAATTTTCTATTCACAAATGAAGTTATTTTTTCATAAAACAGATGTCTGTTATTGTTAGGAATACAAGTACATATTATCTATATGTAAATTTATAAATTGCCATTACTCACATTTTACTGACAAAATCTTATCCAACATATTCCCATTTGATTCCTTTTTCGAATTTCCCCAATACACGTAGTAATACATTATAAATCTATGAATGACATTCCTTTCAGTTGTAGATAACTGTTATGCACGACTTTCACGTGCAGATTTACTACATGTTTGTGCTAATGTTTTTTTGTTTTTTTTTACCTAATATCGTGCTATACATACATACAGGTGCGTATTGTGTTATATACCTGTTTAAATTATTACAATAGACAACCTCCATATTTTTTTTTCGAATGTAGTTACACGTAGAATAATAAATTAATGGTGTATATAGATTTAATGTTAACAAACCCCTGCTCGATATATCATTCCATAGTTTGTATTTTTTTTTGTAATTTAGTAAAGTTTTGTGTGTGTGTGTGTGTGTTTTTTTTCTCTCCTCTTTTGCAATGTACTGTGTTAAATGATTATATACTTTTTTGTTCGTACCGGAACTATGCATTCTCTGTTATATAAAAATTGTGTTATGCCCGCATATTGTATTGAAAAATGCTTGGGTGAAAATAAAAGATATGTTCTGTTCTGTTCTGTTCTATTATTTAACAAAGTTTCACTATCAAAAAATGCAATTAAATAAACAAACGCACCAACGAATAATTGGCTGTTAATTATTGAACGGCGATAATTACCATTATTATCAAAATCCTTCTAAAACGTGTTCTTAATAGTACATGTAATTAAATTTTGCAGTTTGATTCTGACTTTAAAATTAAAAGGTGTGAACATATGTTATAATTGATGTACACTTTTCAAAAATATAAGCAATTCTTTTGAAAAGTAAATTGTTAACATGTCTGTCAACGTATGAAGCTGCGCATCGTTATCGTAGCAGGCAAAACATTTTTATTGGCTGCTCAAAAATCTAATTTGCATAATTTATTCACACAACTGCTGGTTCTTACTATACTTATGTCTAATACTGTGCATTGTCCATTTTAATTGTTCCTAATTTGCACCAAATGTTCCTGTCACACTGTGTACTGACGATTTTTATTGCTCCTTATATGCCTCTGTGCCGACAGACCTTTTGATCATGCACAATGTTGCCCTGATTGGTTAATCACCCTTGTCAAATATTCTAATGACGAAATAGACATCTATTTTTTACGCTTCATCAGCGAACTGAATGACCTTAGGGGAAATTAAGTTCCACACCTATCAAATTATACTGTAAATTACAGCATGTCATAAAATAGCAACACATTTTTTCAGTTACCAATAATCATTTTGAATATTAAGTAGATTAATGATGTTTTGTTTCATTGGATTAAACTTACGGTAGTAGAAATGCGTGTGGGAAAGGAATTGGGTACGTAGATACGTGGAAAAAAGCTTTCTTGCATATCAGACTGGCGTTTCCGTTAGTTTTACCCATGCCGGAAATTTCATCTGGCATGGGGGGTTCCAGATGAGTCGCGTGCTGTACAATTGCACGATAAAGATGACGTCATTTTACCGTTATGAATGATTTTGTAATTCATACGCTGTTGAATGAAAGTAGTTACGGTAGTAATGATATAAATTTTCATAGAAAATAAAGATAAAGAATTAAAAATATAATGGAATATGGTAGAATATGCAAGAAAAAATATCTGACATATGTTTGCGGTTCGGATCGGAATATCCGTCCCTCGGTCACCCGCCCATGGGCGGTAACTCGGCAAGCCTCGTTACCGCCCAATGGGCGGATCACCTCGGGACGGATATTCCGATCCGAACCGCAAAATATGACAGATATTATTAATAAGGAACTGGATAAACCCGAGAATATGCGTAATTACAGGGGAATGGGCAACCTGTTGCTGTTGGTACCAGTTTTGACTGGGTGCCTTAATACCCTAACGGACAGTTTTGTTTTCATACGATATTAGTCTGGCTGCCAATTTTCCTGTGCCATTCTCATTTTTAGCGTCAATGGCTGAAAATCGCGTCCTCAGCAGATCGCTGCATATTTGATTTAGTTGATATTTTACGCTGAAAAAAAGACACATGACCGGCGATGTACCCTATTCGGACAGCTTGTCTAGTGAAAATTAAGTACAAAATAAAAGGATATATCGTCAATTTGAAGAAGTTTTTCACAGTACCCAAATTAAATTGATGGTTTATCTTTGAAAATTTAGCAGTCATTGCTTAAATCATGTGGTGGGATCATCAGCAAGCTTGAAAATAGGACAAATGATAATTAATGTCGCGGCGTCTTCAATTAATTAATTAAAGCAATTCAGTTTCATATGATGTTTTCATAAATAATATATAATGTACGTAATAAGATTAATAAGTTTTTCATCAAGATATATTTCAGTTGTACAAGCGGGTACACCTATACCGGAAGTGGGTGTAACACGTCACAATCTCGGTCTCGTCTGTCACGCGAGAATGACAGAACGCCAAAATGGCGGCGCCCAGGAACTTATTTCTCAAGTAAAAAGGTCAGGGTAACGCATTGTAACACGGCCAGCGATTGGCTGAAAAAAGTGCAGGGAAAACCGTATGAGTCAATTTATACATGAGGTGATTGGATGAATGTGGGGTATTTTTAAGTATAAAAACTAATTTAAAAAGTAACACTACATTGTTTTCTGAAGAAAATGAAATATTTCATGAGTCTCTGTGATAATTTTGACTTGGATATTTGCATTTATAAAAAGTGTATGTCAGTCCTGTGATGAGCAGAAAATTTCGATGAAAAGGGTGTAATCCTCTTTGAAGTCATTTTGCCAAAAAATGGTAGGCTACCCCATATAACAAGATCATTTTTATGTGTCAGGCATTTCATTCTGCTAGAAAAATTACCTCTTTAGCATGAAAACTCAATTTTAAGGTAGGATCAGGGACCATTTCTTATAATGTAAGTCTATGGAAATATCAATATGAGTGTCTGACCAAAAATAGTGTCTTAAAACACGAATTTCTCACTTATAGGATTAATTTCAACAGAAAAACTGTTATTTTTATACCTCTTTTTAAATGATGAATATTTATATTAGACAGACATCAATCCATCCATTCCAATTCCTTTAAAAGAAAAAGGGGTTTTACTTTGCTTGCCAGAAAACCCTGCATATTATCAAAAATTATTAAAAGAACAAATACTTTTAATATTAAAATACATACCATTATTATTGGCTTGAAGTATTCGGAACTTTGGAAGATCCCCATCTGATGTCCATAAGTCTATCTCAGGAATCGTTAAATTATGTTCAATCGAGGAAAACCCTGAAATAATTCATAACAATTATGTTTTATTATGTTTATCCTTGATCAATTAGACAATGACGTTAGCTCAATGTATTGAATATAGAAAGATATATAAAAGAACCCATAAAATCAAAATTCACAGCAGGGTTCAATTTAACTGAACCTAGGGAAATGCATATTTATATATTTTTTCTTATATTTTAACTCTTTTTTTTACTGTTGTAAAAACTTTAGCTTTTTTGCTAGATACTGGATGAGTTTTGTACTTTTAAAGATCTTTTAATAATGTTACCTTCTTTGCAACCACTTTCATCCGCAAAGACGCTGTAATTTCCTTCTGGAAACGATCCAACATCTAATGTGGTGTTGTTTCTACTCTTGAAACAAAACTGCAGTGTCATTGAATTACTTGTTATAGGTTGAAAGACATTTTTGTCCACTTCTGGCCAGTCATATTTGTACTCATTATCTTCAGTTGCCTCTTTAATATGTCTTAATATTGTTGTGTTGTATCTTGTTTCCTCAAGTTTAAAGTTAAGAGAAATAAGTCCTTCAGACCAACCCTTTGATTGTTGTTCAGGACACCCAAAATACGACATAGGTATTGCATAAGGCCCCGGTGGCCATTTGCTTAATTTGGTATCGTTATCTAAAATGAAATATTTACGTTTTCATGAGTTTCAAATCGTCATCGCATTCTTCATTTCCAAGTCTCGTTCTTTATACACGTTAGGCACAATTTAAGTAAAGTGTTATGTTCATAATGGAACAACCTTAACCTAGATGTTGCTGCAAATCGCTTTTGTGTGCTTGCTTTTCTGTTGTAGATGCTTCATTATTATTTTTCTATTTACAAAAGAGGGTTACTGCATTTAAAACAAGAATTATCTTTTAAAACGTAAAACTTTTTAACATGCAAAATTATGTTATTTCTAAGTTTTCAATACAAAAAGAAATGTTAGCAATTCTTTCATAACAATGACATGATAATTATATCTTGTAGCTATTAAGAAATCACCCATTTTTTAAACATTGAAATTTAATTATAGCATTTTCAAAGAAGAACAACTTCTATTTAAGGTGTCCCTTTTACTTGTATTACGTTTGACTTAATTAATTTTGTAATCATTTACAAAATTAACTTAAAAGTTAAAGAACTATTCTCATTCCCGTACATTTTATTTTAGAACTATCCTTTACATTTTATTTTATAGTGTCAAAACTATCCCTTACATTTTTATCATAGAGCTATCATTAACATTTTATTGAAGAAAAGTAGGACCTATCCTTAACATTTTATTATAGAATTGTTAGAACTGTCCTGTACGTTTTTATTTTAGAATGACCAATGAGATTCACCGATTTCAGTTTATAATTTTATAATGACCAATGAAATTTCTTCTTATATTCAGTCATTCCCTGTTAATTCTACAGGAAGTCAAACTGAAAGACAAACTTTTTAGATATTAAACCACAGAAAATCTGCACAAACGCTATTATAGCGCTTATGATCTAAGTTTACGTCTATTTCGGAAAACTCTGTGTTTGG